TTCCCAAATACGGTGAAGCAAACTCTCAGGCGCCTGTTGGCACCTCGGGCAGAGAAAGCTAGGGATGTTGTACCCCGCCTGTTGCAACCTCTCACGGGGCCACTGGCCCCCTGTCGTCACCACCACGTTCAGCGCCCAGTCGTCGGAGCCGTCGTCATCTCTGAGCCTGCGCAGCTCCCTGGGGACCTACTACTACTACGACTAGTACGACTACTACTACTACCTACCTACCTACCTACCTACGTACCTACCTCCCTACCTACCTACCTACCGACCTACCTATTATTTCGACGACGACTACCACTAATCGCTGTGAAAATGATCCCACGCACCGTCTGCGTGCGAGGGGATATTCCATGTTGCCACTGCTGACTCCCATTGCATAGGTGAATGTGGGGCCCATCCTCATTACCCGACAATGAAGCACGCGCCAGCGCGCGCCGCAAGGCAAGGCGGGGCGCGAGCCGCGGGCTGACGAAGCTGCAGCGCGGTTGCCAAGGTGCGCCAAGACAGACCTGGCCCAAAGCAAACCACAGCACGCGGGGCGAACCCGGCACCGCCCGACCTCGCGTAGCTCTGGAGGCACCAGGCAACAAGGGCCCACAACGAGAAACAGGATGAGGCGAGACACATTGGCCGGTCACTTAGCTGAAGTACCGAGGACAAAGCGGGCGCGAGGCACAAAAAAAACGCAGCCCTCGGGGCAGCCCCAGCACGACTGCGCGTAGAGCGGGGGCACGCAAGGGAGGCACAAGTAGAGCCTCGACGAGCCACGATCTGGCGCGCCATAGTGGCCACTACAGTTGGCGCGGCACCGAGGCGGCGCACAAAGCCCGCGCAGGCGGGCAGCAACTCACTCACAGACCTTGAGGCCTCAGAGCCACTCGGTCTAGCCTGGGAGAACCTCAGATGGAAGCGCGCGGACGGCCCCGCCCCACTCGCTGCCCTCCACCGCGGGGCCAAACAGCTCGGAACCGACGTCTGGCGGAGGGCCCGCGGGCGGCGGCGGCGGCACCTCCACGCTGGTCGGCGCCGCAGGTGCGGGCGGTGGCGGCGGGCGCTCCCCACTCACACCGGCGCCGCCGCCCCCCGCGGCAGCCGTCCTTTAGGTCAATCCTCGGCCCGCCAGCGGAGGGGGCACTCGGGGCCGCCCCTGTACGGCCCCCGCAAGCAGGGCTGCCGACGGCCAGTTTGCGGCGCTGCTCGTAGTTCAGCACGGCCATCTTAGCCTCGGTGATCTTCTCGCGCTTGCGCTTGTTCCTGGTCTTCTTGCTGTAGCCCGCCCACTCAGGGTTGCTCAGGCTCAGTCCCCGCGCCACCTGCGCGCAGAGGTCGCACCAGTTAAACTCGGGCAAGTCGGCCCACGAGAGGTTGTCCATCAGCACCCAGCGCCCCTCCCACTGCTTTCAGGATGGTTTTGGAACCGAACCGAAACGGCCGAACGGAGCCTGGCCGAAGCGAACCGGCGCGAACCGATGTTTTTTGTCAATGGGAACCGAGCCGAAACCCAAACTGTAGAATTGCAACGCCGAACAGAGCCGAGCCGAACCAAGACTCCGAACCGGGCCGAACCTGCCCCGCCGAACCGGACCGAACTGGACCGAACCGGACGGAAACGGAAAAACGGTGGGAGGAGGACCGGCGGCGACGACGACGATGACGAGAGCTCCCCAGATCCGGGCGCAGAAAAATCACGGCCCAAGGTTTTTCGCTATTTTCGGCCTCCGGGAACGTCAAAAACAGACCCAGCATGAAAAACCGCGGCGTCGCGGTCGTCCGCGAGCACCTGGCTGGCGGCGCAGACGGGGGAGGGCCGCGGCCGCCGCCGCTCGCCGTCGTCCGTCGATGGCCCGTCGGCCCCTCGCCCATCGCCCTCGTCGTCGGTGACGTCGACGTCGAGGGCGCGGAGCGGACCGCGGGAGGGCGAACCCCTTCGGCGCCCCCACCGCGCGAGGACAGGGGGCCCGCCTCCGGGGTGCCCGGGTTCCCGCGGGAACCGACCCACCAGCAGTCTGCTGCGCCACCCCGACAACCCTCCCTTCGGGGCCCCTTCTTAAGAGCCCCTTTGGGGGTTCGAGCCTCGAGCCCTTTGGGGGTTTGGGGCCCCTCTGGGGTTTGGGAGCCTCTTTGAAGCTCCTTTGAGGTTTGGGGCCCCTCTGGGGCCGTTTTGGAGTTTCGAGCCCATTTGGGACTCCTTGGGGGTTTGGGGCTCCTAGGGAGGCCCATTGGGTTTGGCGCTCCTTTGGCGCCTCTTCGGGGCCCCTTCGGAGCCCCTCCGGGATTCGGGCCCCCCTTCGGCGCCCCTCCGGGCGCGGAGCGGACCGCAGGAGGGCCGGCCCCTTTGGCGCCCCCCCCCCCCGCGCGAGGGCACGGGGCCGCCACCAGGGCGCCCAGGTCCCCAGGGGGAACCGACCCACCAGCAATATGCTGCAGCCACCTTGACAAACCCCCCTTTGGAGCCCCTTCGGGGCCCCTTGGGGGCTCCTTTGGGGCCCCCATCGGGGATTGGCGCCCCTTTGCACATTTGAAATTCGGTGCCCAATTTGGGGCCCCTTTAAAGTTTGGAGCCCCTTCGGGGCCCCTTCGGAACCTCTTTGCGTGGAGCCCCGCCCTCTCTCGGGCCGCCCTCTTCCTCGGCGGCGGCCCCCCCCTCGGGGCCTCGGGGGCCCCCCAAGCGGCCGAGGCCTGCGGCGGCCAGCAGCAGCGGCAGCCAGCGGCAGCCAGCGGCAGCCGTTGTCGGGCCCCGGGGCCACGGAAAGGCCCACGGACTCTAAGAAAAAGGACGAGGGGCCCCGCAGCATCTCTCGGCGCCCGACCAACGACGCCAGGCCCGACGACCGACGACGACGACGATAGCGGCGGCCAGCAGCAGCGGCAGTCGACGACGACCGACGCATCCGCGCCTGCTCCCAGACCTCGTGAACAATGTTGAAGGGGGCGCTCTCCTCCCCGATGCCCTCAACCTGCGGATGCTGCATCTCCTCGAACGCCTCCTGCAAATGATCGTCCAGATGCTGTTGTCTGCGTACTCGAGCTTCCGCTAACTTCCTCTGCCTCTTGCTCCCTGGGTCGGGCGATATGGCGGGTCTCTTCACCGTGGGAAGCTCCTTCGCAATGTCCAGCGCTCTGTGCCACCACCCCATCTTCGCGTACTTCACCTCCAGAACCAGACCTGCGTGGGTCTTCCAGGGTACCTCGGGCACTATCGGTAGCTTCGTGGCTGAAGAGATCCCGCACTTCGCGACCGCGTAGTCGATGAGCGTGCCGCGACCCCTGGTGCACGTGACTTCGCCGTTGGATGGAGTGATGACCTGCGCATCCCGCTTCTCCAGCCAGGATGTCGTTGCCCACTCAGATGGATGCATGTTCCAGTCGCCCATCATCCAACCAGGGCTCCTTAACCATGCTAAGGAACGCCGCCAGTCTGACCAGGGTCTTCTCATTCGGGCCTCGAAACTTGTGCCCCGGGAGAAGGTAGCACACCGCCACTACTATGTTGCCCATGCGAGTGTGCCATAGCAGAGGTGCAAATCCTTGGAAGCAGTCGCGCCCTGTGCGAACTCGTTCTGACTCTCGTACGTGTTCAAAGGAAGTGGATGCCATTCGCTTCTGGGTAATGGTCCACTCCCCACCTGAAGTGCCCTCGCTTGACCTCCCCGTCATGGTAGCCTCTGTGGCTGTGAGCTGCCAGCCGTCGCGCCCCAAGTCTGACCTCGCCTCCTGAAGGCGGTGTCCTCTCTGATGAGTCCCCGCGAACCCAATGATATCATATTGCGTTGCCTGCTCGCGCATGAAGGACCTAGCCTTACGACGTCGTTTCTTAGGATATGCCCTGGGGGGGTGCGCCATGGGGTTTTGATGGAAACCACGCCGTGGGGTTTTGATGGGTCTTGTTTCGGCCCTCGGGACGCGCCATGGCCAGCGCCAAAGTATCTGGCGCGCGCCATGGGAATAACACGGGCTGACCCCGAACTCTCGCGGCGCGGCGTCGCTCGAGCGCTCGAGCGGCCATGGGGATAACACGGGCTTAGCGCGGCCACCATCGTGGCCGCTAGAGTTGCCAACACCTTCGCATGTTAGGGTGCTTAGTGCGCTTCGACGCTCGAGCTTTTCAAAAATCCTCTTCCTTCTCCTCCTCCCGTTCCTCCTCCGCCCCCTCCCCCTAGCCCCCTCCTCCCTGTCTGTTCCCCGCTCTCCGTCCCCTTCCTCCCCCTCCAGCTTGCACTCGACCCCCCCTTCCCCCCCCCGCTTTCCTGCGCCCCTCTCGCCCGCCTCCCCCCCCCCTCTCCCTTCCACCCTCCCGCGGGCGAAGCGCCTCAGGGCGCAGGCGAGGGCGCTGGGGTCGGCGTCGGCGAGGGCGACGGCGCGGGCGAGGGCGAGGGCGGGCGAGGGGAGAGGAGGAGGAGGAGGTATCCTGCCGTCTGCCTGGTTTCCCTCCTCCTCCTGCCTGCCCTTCCTCCCTCCCTCCCCCGCACCGCTTCCCCTCCCCCCTCTTTCTGCGTTTCCTGTCCCGTCCCCGCCCGCCCCTCCCTCCCCTCCCCTCATTTTCCTCCTCCTTCTCCCGTCCTCATCCTGCCCCTCGGAAGTCCTGAACCCCCAGTCCGTTTCCAGCGCTCCTCGAGGAGCACTCCGAAGTCAAGGCTCGGGTCGGAGCAGCGGCGAGCTCGTACAATTCAGCCTGCTGCCCACTGAGGCATCCTGCCTCAACTCAGCCCCGCATGGGCCATCGTTCAACTCAGGCCCGCATGGCCTCGTTCAGCTTCTTCTGCGGAGAGGTGGAACTCCTGTTCTGGGCGATGCCGTTCTCCATTTTCCTCCTCCTTCTCCCGTCCTCATCCTGCCCCTCGGAAGTCCTGAACCCCCAGTCCGTTTCCAGCGCTCCTCGAGGAGCACTCCGAAGTCAAGGCTCGGGTCGGAGCAGCGGCGAGCTCGTACAATTCAGCCTGCTGCCCACTGAGGCATCCTGCCTCAACTCAGCCCCGCATGGGCCATCGTTCAACTCAGGCCCGCATGGCCTCGTTCAGCTTCTTCTGCACCGCCAGGTGGAACTCGTTCTGGGCGATGCCGTTCTCTGGGAGGACGTCCAGCACGTTCTGGATGGCCGTGGCCCTCACCTCAGTACTGGAGCTCTCGTTATCGCGAATCTTCTGGATGGCGGCGGCCTCCATCTGCGTGAGCCTTGCCAGGTGGATCGTCTCCCCCATTGCCCTCGCGATCTCGTCGCACTTGCCGTCCTGCTCGTAGGATTTGCAGGTGTCGCGGACGTTGGTGATGGCTTTCTCCAGGGCCGCGATGGCGGAGCCCACCTTGGCCGCCAAGCCTTTCGTTGCGAAGACCGTCGAGCGAGCATGCTTGACCACCGCCGTCCACTCTGCACTGTCGTCGAGGCCTGCCCTCCAGCCACGATCAACGCTGCCAAAACTGACGATGGATTTCAACCTGCTCTGATACTCGGTGGCGTCGGCGAGGGTAGAGTCGATGTCGGCATTCTCGAAGGACAGTGTCGTGCCCGCCGCCGTGGCCAAGAGGTACTCGAACTTGTTTTTGATCTGAGCGATGCTGATGAAGTTGCCGTGGGTCCCTCCAGGCTGGTCATCCATCAGGCTGCACATCTTTTTGAGCTCCCCGACGGTGCCCTTCAGGCACTGGTATGCTTTGGTGCCCTCCGTGTTTGAAACCTGCTCAGCTGCATTTCCGAATTGCACCAGCTCCTTGAGGGCGCGAGTCGTGTTCAAGACAATCGTCATGAGCTTCACGCGGCGAGCAGCGCCGTTGATGCGCTGCTCCTCGTCGTCGCACTCCGCTAGGTCGCACACCTTCGTGGTTAGCTCCAACATGTCGGCCACCTCGTCAACGAGAAAGTCGTCGATATCTGTCGCCGTATCCATCTTGATGTTATTGCATGCGGTAGCGGCCATGGCGTCCACAGCATTGAATATGATGCTCAGGTGTGGTGGGTCGGAGAACCTGACGCTTCCCAACTGCCCGAGCTCGGTCTTGACGATCTTTGCCTGAGCGCTCATGTTCTCGACAACCGCCGCTTTCTGCAAGGCCTGCAAAATCGCGCTCGACGAGACAGACTTGGACACCTGAGACTGCAGCTCCCGAACCCTCTCCACTAAGCGGTGCAGCCGAGGCCCGAAAGTCCTGGTGACCCCTTCACGGGCCTCGCCCTTCGAGAAGCAGTTGTCGAGCTCGAGAAGGCCTGTGAGCAAGGAATTGAACTGGTCCATCTTCGGCGCGTTCTCCTCGTCCGTTAGCAAGGCGTGACGGTCCATGAACTGCTCGGCCGCAGAGAAAAAAACATGCATGGCGGGGGTCGGAGTAGAAGACCTGCATATTGTGAACCACTTCATCAGGGACGCTACGGTCTTGGTGAACACCGTGACGTCGGAGACCTCGCCCTCGAGCGACTGCCTGGTCATCGTTATATTCTCCATCTCCTGCAGGTCACCTTGAGAAGCGCGTCGCCACTCTATCTTCTCCTGCCTCCAGTAATCGTCCGAGTCCAAAGCGCGAGCGAACGACGACCACTCCTTGTCATAGTCGCCGTGGAGCATCTTCCGAAAGTCAGCCAAGTCGACCTCGATGGAGGCCACGGCCTCCGCAGAGTGGTCGGAGATCGTGTCCAGGATGGCCGCGCAGACCTGCATGTCCTTGTAGAACTTCTTGATCTCCTGTGGCAGCCCAAGTGAAGCACGAACACACTCCCTCAAGGTGCTTCGGAGCCCCTTGGCAGTATCCAGCTGATCGGTCTTATTCTGGATGATCGGGATGAGCAGGTAGTTCAAGGCGTGGTCCCTTGCGATATTGATGGTCACATCCAGTTCATCGGCAACTCCCGAGAGCTTCGGGCAAGCAGGGTCGAACTTAACAGGGCCATCTTCCGCCTCAGCGAACGGGTTGATGATGTCCCACACTGCATCCAAGTCTAAGTTGGCATGGAGGGTCTCTGAAACCAGAGTGCGGCACCACTTCGGGCAGCTCTGGAAATTCACGTTGTTTTTCTTCAGCTCGTTGATGTACTTCGTCTTCAAATCGTTATTGCCCCTGAGGTTGTGCATGTTGTGCGTGGAAATCTGCTTCGCCGTCTCGATGACTTCGATCCGCGCGTCCCTCCTATCCTTGGCATTGGGTTGCTTCGGGCTGAAGCGTGTGACGGCGTACTCCCTATCGCCGAGCTTGTAGCCCTCCAAGATCTTCGCGATGTCGCAATCGGTCTCGAGCTGCCTGATCCTCTCCATCTCGTCGACAGCCGCTGGCGATCTGGGCTTCGATAAGGCCTCCATGCCACCAGCGGAGCTGGCGGCCTTGCCACCTGCGCGGGCCCTGGGGGCCCCTCCCGCTGCACTGATGCGAGTCCGAGTCGACCTCCACGACCGAGAGCGTCCGCGGGCTGGGGGAGGCGAGGCACTCGGAGGCTTCGATGAATCCACCTGCAGCCCCTGGAGGTCCTTCTCGCCCTGGGTCTGGCTCTTGCTGTCGCCAGCGCCCTCGCCGCGGCCCGCGGCGTCTCCGGTAAGATCATGCAGACCCGCGGCCGCGACGCCGCTGCCAGAGTCCTCGGGCACGGATGCTGGGAGACTGTCCGCTGCACTGTCTGCAGCATGCCCACGGCTGCCCTGGTTAACGAAAGGGCCGCCGCCTGGATGCTGCTGAGGCTGGATGCCCCCCTTGCCGTCGCTCTTCACCTTGGCCTCAAACGCGATGGACCCCAGCGTCGGAGGGGTGGTCCTGCCGCGAATGGCGGTGGGCATCTTGGCCTTGAGCGTCGAGATCTCGGCTTTGAACATCTTTTTCCCCTGATCCCTGAGGACATGGCGCGCCTCGGTGAGCGACTGGGAACGCCTCTCGACGAAGTACTCCTCAATCCTGTCCACGTCGACGAAGGGCTTGTCAGGGTTCACCGTCACATATCCATCCACGCTAGCGCCCGAAGGGAACTTGATCGATGAAGCTTTGAGATCCAGATCTTTGGGCTCGACGTCAGCGGGCATGGAGGTGGCCTCGCGAAAGGGCTGCTCCTTCCAAACCCTGAAGTGGTGCGCCATCCTGAAGCCGCATCGCGAGACGATGTCGACGCTCTCCTCGTCGAAAGCCTTGTTGCGCGCGTCCTCCGCGCACTCCGCGGACACCTCGAACTGGTCGTTCAAGGTCTTCTCCTGGTTGAGCTGCTGGCAAAACTTCGGCCAGCTGGGATGCTTCTCCTTCCAGGCCCACTCCCACGGGTAGTAGCACCTCTCGCACGCAGCGATCGACGCATCTGGGAACCGCATGTCGGCCGTCTCCTTCTTGGAGCAGCCTGATCGGCCGCAGACGCGAAACTTGCCCGACGGCTTCGCCTTCGGCTTCGCATCGACCTTCAGGACCTTGACGGCTGCACGCCCGCGCTGCCGAGCATCCTGGAAAAGCTCGTCGTCGTTCTCCTCAGGGTTGGAGCGCTCCGAGCCATCGGCCTCGTCGGAATCGGCAGCGAGAGCCTCAGCGACACGGGACACGGCGCGCTTGCGCGCGCGCGCAGAACCAGCGGTGGCCATGGCCACGGCCTGCGCCGAACGGCGAGGAGAAATACGAGGGGTCTTGGAAAAAGGGCCCGCGGGCAAAATGCTCGAGCCTACACGGTGTCGGACACGGGAGCGACACTCTCAGCGGATAACTCCAGGACGAGTTCGAGTATCTTCGCCACTCGGGTGTGCTCCATGTCGATTATCTTCGCGCCAATCTGCGACATTATCATAGCGATTATCATCGCGATTATCTTCGCCAAGAACCGTGTCCAGCGGGGCTCGTTCCGACCACAAGCGTTTCCACATGGGCGTTTCCGTGTCCTCGTCCAATCCCCTGCCTCCCGCCCCCCTCCCCGCCACCTGCCCGTCCCCTCCCTTGCCGCCGCTTCGTCCCCCCATGCACCTCGCCCCCCCCTCCCCTCTCGGCGGACCAGGCTTTATGATATCTCACTGTCGGGGGCCCGTCGCCAGAAGAAGACTCGGAGCCGTGGCCGATGCAACCCCTAGCTGCTACTCCAACCCGCCAAAGTGACCGACTGGCGAGGCGGGTGCGTGGTCCCCCCACAAACGACGAGGCCCTGCAGAACGCCTCATCTTCCCGTGCCTGCAACGGCCCCGCGAATGATCGGGGCTTCCGGAACCGCAGCATCGGCCCTTCGGTCGTCCAGAACGGAGGCAGGACAACCTTCTGAGCGAATCCACGCATGAAGTGTGATATGCATAGAAGAACGCAGAAACATATGCACATTTATTGCAACTGTAAACACTCGGGCTTGCACGTTGATGTGGCATGCATCATACGTTGAGTTTTATGTTGCTGACATGTTTATTGTTGTCTGCAAGAACCCACGCGCGCGCGGGGGGGGGGCGGGGCAAAACCTAATGTGAGGTAATCGGCATAGAGGGAGTTGTTCGGGCTTGGGGCATAAGGCAAATGGCAGAAATCTGGAGGCTTCGGGCTTGGGCCTTAAGTCCCAGGGGTGCTGGTCCAAGGCTTTTGAAATCGGGGCCGAGGGCTCATGGCTCGGGGCTCAGGGCCTAGGGATTAAGGCATAGGGCTACGGGCTCGGGGTACGGGCTTGGGCCTTACGACATCTGGGCTTCGGGCTCAGGGCTGAGGGCTTTGAGCTCACGGCTTAAGGATAAGTTCGTAGAGCTCAAAATTTAAGGCATGGACCTTCGGGCTTAGAGCCTAGGGCCTGGGGTTTGAGGCATGCGGCTTTGTGCACAAGTCCAAGGGCCGATGGGGCGTGCAGCTGAGGGGCCAAGGACCAGGGCCCAAGGCTCAATACTACATATTGACGGCCGATGACTTCTGGCCGAGGTCTCAGGATGGAGCGCCTCAGGCCGCGGGCTTTGAGCGGGGGCGCTAGGCTCTGTGCTTTGGGCTCAGGCAGGGGAGCCAGGGGCACGGGGCCGTAGGCTCAGAGGGTGCGGAATTGGGCTACGGGTCATGGGCCAGGGGGGGCCTAGGGGTCGGGTCTAAGCCCCAGGGCTTAGGGCATCTGACTGAAGTCTCACTGCTGACGACTCGCAACGTTATTGATCAAGGCCTGGGGCTTACGGCTTGGGCCATTCCGTTTCGGGCACGCGGCTTCGGGCACATGGCTCGAGGCGCATGGCCGAGGGCTCAGGGCGTAGGGATGTAAGCTCGGTGCCCACGACCAGGGGCTCACGGCGTAGGGCTGGGGCATTTGGGGTCAGGGATGAAGGCTGGGTACGTGGAGCTTATGGCGTAAACCCTGAATCACAGGACGCTGGCCCTTGCGATGTGGGCTTCGGGCTTGTTGCTCAAGGCGTTATGGTTTGAGGCGTTGGCGCTCTGGCTTCGGGCCCAGGGCTCGAGGCATAGGGCGTGGGGATTGGAGCTTCGGGCTGGGGCCCCCAGGCTCGGGGCTAAGGAATGAAAGTTCAGAGCCTAAGGCTGGCGGTCGAGAATTGCAGGCCATCGGTTTCACGCGAATGCTCACGCACGTGGGACGGAAGGCCGGCAACTTTGGGCGCGCGGCAAGGGGCCTCGCGGGCATGCCATCGGGCGACGGGCCTCGGCCCTGCGGCTTAAGGCATAGGGCATGGGGCTCGGGGCTGCGGGCTGGGGGCTGAGGGTTGATGGCACAGGGCCTGAGGCCTTATGGTGTCGGGCCTCGTGCTGCGGGGGTAGAGCCACGGGGCGTACAACGCGGGGCTTAGGGCCATGGGGCTGGAGGCTGAGGGCCAGCCATTCCGCTCTTGGAACCTTGGGCAGAGGGCCTGGGGCACATGGCGCAACTGCTCCAAGGCTACAGTTTCGGGCTTAAGGCTCAAGGCTCATGGATCAGGCCTCGAAGCTTTGAAGCCTCGACAGTGGGCAACGGGCTGGGCGCTACGGGCATCGGGCTGAATGCTCAGCGACCAGGGCTTAGGGCCCATCTCTCAGGGATTGGGGGGTGAAACCCAAGGCTCAAGGGCCAGGGCTCAAAGCGGAAAGCTCGGGGCCCGCGGATGACGGCATCGGGCGGTGGGCCCAGGGGCGAAGGCATGCGGCTTGGGGGCGGGGGCTCAGGGCCGAACGCATAGGTCGCAGAGTTGAAACCGCGGGGCTTAAGGTTCAGCGCCCAGCGTTCAAGGCACAGGGCGTAGCGCCCAGAGCTGTGGCGCATCGGGATCCGAACCTAGACCGCAAGGCTTCGGGCTCGCGGCTTCAGCCAGAAGGCGATGGCCATCGGGCCCAGGGGCCATGGCTCGGAGTGTTTCGTGACCTGGTCTGAAGGCACTGCGCGACAGATCTGGTGCAAAGGGATGATGGCATCGGGATCGTGGCTTGGGGCCGCGGCCCTCGGGCTCAGGATTTCTGGCGTGAATGCCGAGGCTCAAGGCTCGGGCGTCATGGCCAACGTCTCATCGCCCAGGGCTTCTGCCTTAGCGCTAGTGGTCGAAGGCTTCGGGCCCAGCGCCGACGACTCCAGTTAAGGGCATGAGGCATCAGGCTGTGGGCCTGTGCCGATTGGCGCAAGGCTGAGCGGCAGGGGCCACGGGCGAGCGGCATTGTCCGCGCAACCATTTTGATATAAAGCGAAGGGGTTCGGGACTCGGTGTTAGGACAGATGAGGTTGCGGCCATAGGCGTTGGGAAGGCGGCTGGAGGGTTGGGGCGCGGGGCGCCTGGCGCGGTGCGCAGGGCTGGGGAGGGGGGGGCGAATGCAGTTGGCGCGCGGCTTGGGGCGCAGGCGCCAAGGCTCAGGGCAGAGGGCGCAGGGCGCGCGTCTGGGGGCTGATTGTTTGCAGCAGAGGTCACGAGGCCCCAGGCATGGGAACCGAGGCTTCGGGCATGGGGCGTAGGGTTCTGGTATTCGTGGGTGGTGCTGAGGGCTGAGAGCCTTGGGCTTCGGGTTTGGGACTCAGAGGTTCGGGCTCCAGGCGTAGGGCGTTGGGCGCCAGGCAAGCGGCTCTGGGCTCAGGGCTTGGGGCTACGGGACCAGGGTTTCCTGATTCGAGCTCAGGCCTTCGCGGTTATGGCTTGCTGCTCGGGGTGCATGGCCCAGGGCTCAGGGCATATGGGATTGGGGCTGTGGGCCTCTAAGGCATGAGGCTGAAGTTAATCGCTCACGAATTCTGCTTCAGAGCTCAAAGCTAGGGCTTACGGCGTCAGGCTCAGGGCTGTGGTCGCAGGCTCGGGGCTGAGGCACTCTAGGGCCCACCGCTGAGGACTTAGGGCACAGGGCTTAAGGCCCTGGGGCTCGGGGTGCCAGCCGACGGGCTCTGGAACTACTTCTAGAGACAAAGGACATGGAGCGCGGGGCACGCGGTTTAGGGCATTCGGCCCATGGCCCAGGGTGTAGGGTTGAAGGATTCGGGCCGAGGGCGTGTGGCATGGGGCTTAGGCACGGGGGGGTGGGGCGCATGGCCTCGGGCTCGCAGCTTTGGGCGCAGGGTTTCGGTGTTTCGGGGGCGCGGCTTCAAGCGTAAAGCAGAGGGCCCAAGGCTTGGGGCCGAGGGGGCGCGGCTTGGGGCCGCAGGGCCTAGGGCGTAGGGCAACGTGCTTACGCCTGTGGGCGCACGGCCCAGGGCACTGGGCTAAAGGCAGAATGCCGAAGGCTCATGACATGAGGCACATGGGGGGGTGGCTTGGCGCATGACGCCAGAGTCCGAAGCCCGATGCCCCAAGCCGTCGGCCAGAACCTCCAGAGCTCACGCCTTTATGGCCGATCCCAGAATCCTGAGTACGTCTGCGCTGGGCCCCGTGCCCCACGAGCGGGCCAGAATCCAGCCGCCGCGGCCCCCATGCCCGACGCGCCGATTCCCCAGGCCGAGACCCCGAACCCACTGCCCCCCAGAGCCAAGCTCAAACCTCGGAGCCCACAGGCCAACGCCCCCAGCCACACATTGCACTGGCGCCCCCTATGCCCAATGCCACGCGCCCCCACCCAAGACTTCGTGACCCGAGGGCCAGGCAGAAACGTTCGCCCCCCCCCGCGGTCGTCGCGTGGTGTGTGTTGGCAGAGAAACCACGAGCGGCCCGCCACCCCGTGGGGCGCCTGGGCAGAAGGCCATCAAACGATTACAACCTCGAGTGCGCATGGGCGCCCCTTGCCCCTCGCCCCCACTCCGGAATGTTCGCATGCCCCCCCCCTCCTGCCCTTTACAAAAATCACAATTTCTGATGGTTTTGATGGAATTTGATGGATTTTGATGGATTTTGATGAGTTCTGATGGATTCTGATGGATTCTGATGGTTTCTGATGATTTGTGGTGGCCGGACTTGATGGATTTTGATGGAATTTGATGGTTTCTGATGGATTTTGATGGAAAATGGTGGAAGTCCCGTGCAATAAGCTCATCATAATTTGATGGATGTTGATCGATTCTGGTAGATTTTGATGGTCGGGCCTGATGAAATTTGATAGATTTTGATGGAAAATGATGGACTTTGGTGGAATTTGATGGTTCGCGATGGGTTGTGATGGATTTTGATGGAAAATGGTGGAAGTTGATGGTCGGGGTGGTTTGCGGACTCGGCCCGACCGAATCCTTCGACTGGAGAACCACATTTTGTCATGGCGGCCCAGGCGTCCTGATCGCGCACGCCGATGGCGGCAATGCCGACCTCAGCCATGGCCACAAGCCCGATACCTTAAGCCTTCGGCCGTCAACCCTCAACTCCATGCCCGAAGCCCTTGGCCTTGAGCCCTGAGCCCTAAGCCCTGGGCCCTACGTTCTCAGCCCTGAACCCTACGCCCTATGCCCTT